AAAAAAAACATACAGCACAAAAACCAATTTATATTTGTTAAAAGAAAAAACAAATGTAGCAATATCTGAACTTCAATTCCCAAAAGGCTTGGTAGGTGGCAATGATATATGTTGGAATTGCTTCATCCCAACCAGCTCGACAGGCCATCGAGGAATGACTTAAAGAATGAAAATTTTGAAATGAAAGTTTCCAAATAAGTAATAAAGAATTCATTACACAAACTTGAAGAAGTCGAAAAATCGGATCAGAACAGATTACAAACATAGAAGTTTCCTAACTTAAAAAGGGGAAGAGAACAAACAAGCTTATTTGCCTAAACCAACAAACAGATTTTACAAGAATATATAGGTTAGCAGATCAAATAAACAAAAAGAAACAAATGAAAATCAATGGTATCATTTCAACAGCTTCATTTTGCCTAACCCCACTCAAAGATATTTAAAACCGGTTATAAATCCATACGATTATACAACCACAACAAAATTCGATGATACCAATTATCAAAAACATATCCTTCTTATATAAGCCCTTTCACCCTAATCCCCAAATCCCTAGATGAGCCCTAAGAACAGCTCCAATGAAGAACGAAAGACAACAAAAAAGAAAAAAAACACAAAATAATAATAATAATAATAATAATAATAATAATAATAATAATAATAATAATAATAATAATAATAATAATAATAATAATAATAATTGTCATGACAGTGCACCAGAAGCAGCATGATAGCAATCACCTGAAAGCTAAAATATTCAGAACAAATTGATAGCAATCACCTGAAAGCTAAAATATTCAGAACAAATTGTCAAATAATTCAAAAACTAAAAGCTCGCCTTTTTCTTGGGGACAGCCATGAGTTCCATGGCACCACCAGGAAATGGGAAACAAGGTAACTCATCCCTCACGTCTTTGTCGTCATAATCTTCCGGGAAAATCAACGGCGGCAGTGAGTTATTGATCTGAGGGTCGATGGCGGTCGAGAGCGGCGGCGGTCGAGCCACGGCATGGGCCAGCCGACGGAGACCTCCAACGGCGCAACCCCCTTTTCTCCCGGCGCTTTGAAGCATCGAGGCCCAATCTACAAGTAAAAAATGGAGGATGGGTTTCAACGTTAAAGAAAAAACACAGAGTTGAATTCTATTGTAAAAGAATAAATCGAGACTCTTTTACCTGAGCTCCAATCCTTTGATATCTCCCTTGCAAGCTTTTCTCTTTCTTCATCGTCTACAAGTAAACAAGGACTATGTTATTACCTAATACAAGGAAGGTTAAAATCCTAGAAATCTCTTCAATATCTAATATGCAAAATATAATTCAGTTTAACTAGGATATTGCAATTCATATGTATGTTACCAAAAGATTTGGTCATTATATTGGTACACATAAAATACAACCATAATGCCCATCTAATTATTTCCACCATAATATATAGGAATTGTCGAGCATGGTCAATTCGGACGAGATCAAGGCAAATACAACAGCAAAGGGACGAAATTCCAAATTTCAACCCTTGCCAGTTTCCTCAAAAGATCAAAATAATCACTAGTGCAATAAAGCTTCCGCAAAAGACAAAAAATACAACCTCCCATTGGCCTTCCATACATAATAATGATACAAAGTTACGAACAGTTGATCTCTAACTTGCAAGCTTGTACAAGACGCCCAAGAATCAGAGCAAACTAACCACTTCTGCTAGTACAATATTAAAACTCACAACTAATTTCCGTTCCCTTGAATCAGACAATTAGAAGATGAAAAATCGCAAGAGCATGTCACAAACCTTTGTCCGTAGAAAACAAATGTTTCGTGGCAAATGTGCGCTCACATCGTATCATCCCACCACGAGCAGGATCCCACATAGCTTGCCCTGCCAGAGCCTATCACACACACACAGAGGAAAGAAAAAAAAAATTGCAAAAGCATGACTGAACATGAACTTTGATATCCACTAGGCTACCGATTAATCCATGTAATAAATTAAGAAAACAAAAATGTAGCAGTTTCATCTTGCATAATCAAAGCGAGGGCTTCAAACAGTGTCCATCGGAGATATATTGCGAAATGACATAATCAAGCAAGTACGAATTAACAAAATAAATAAGGTTATTTGGCTGAAAAAATTAATCAATCAAACAACAGTGCTAACCCTCGTAGCCAAATTAGATCCAAACTCCAAACACAAATAACGCAAAATTGCATAAACAACTCCTTAAAAAAACCCTTGGTACAGAACTTAACTACTGAATTGGGTGTTTTCCAATATCGTAAAGATCCCCAAAATATGTAAAACTGAAATTAAAGGAAGGAAAAAGGCCATTGATTATGAAAATTTTACAAAAATAAAGAAGATATTGATACGATGAATATGTTAATCTTACGAGCTGGCGAGCGCAAAGGGCAGAAAGGGATTTGCGAGCTAAGATGGCAGCCATTTTCGATCTTCGCAGTTGCAGAGGCGGTGAGCTCCCAGCAGCAGCTGAGTTCGTCGATTGAAAACGGAACTAAAAAAAACGTTTTTTGGTCCTTTGTCTCCCCCCGTTAGAAGTCGTTGTTTAGATGCTCAAGGCGAAGGTAGTGCTTTCCCAACCCAGCCCATAAATTGTCCTATAAATAACATCATCAGCGACAGGCCCATTGACCGGGCCTTGAACCGACCCATAGTTTTATCCGGGCCTGTTCAGGTTCATGATTTCTCACGATTTGGACTATTGGTGCCGTTCCAGAACTAAAATTGGCGGTTCGATCATTTTTTTTTAATTTTCCATTATTTTTTTATTTATTGTTCGACCCGAAACTGGCCCAATATATATTGGGGCGGCTCCGATTCTCTCAAAATAGGACCGAAATCGAAAAAAGGCTATGTCTATCTATAAATAGTAGTGTATTATAGCTCGTTTTGGCTATTGTTTGAAGGTTGTCAAACTGTACTGCTATCGTAAAAACGGTCACTGGCTCTTCTACATCAAGTTCACCACACGAGCCGTGAAAAATCACGCCTCTGTCCCCAAATCACTCACTCTATACCACATCCCCACGGATCTTCGGGACTATGGAGGTTTACACGGCGGGCAGCTTCTTGGGCAGCCCCATATCGTTAAGCAAAAATTTGGAGCTTGGTTATAGGATGAGGCAAATGAGGAGGGGTAGTACACGACTCGAGTGTATACCGAAATATGAGGTGGCGAATCTTGGTCGTCGAGCCTCATGATATCGGTAACAATTTTAGTTTTTTTCCTTTAAACGATCTGAGCCGAGCTCGAGTTTAGGGTGATCGAACTCGTTAAATAAACGAGCCAGAAATCGAGGTCGAGGTAGGCTCGTTTATCACTAATAACAAGTGGAGTTTGAGCCTTAACAAGTTGATCTTGAGTTTTAAAGAGCAAACTATAGAAAATTATATAAAATTTATCTTTTCGAGCTTTAACTAGCCTTATCAAGCCGAGCTGTTAACCAAACGAGTTTTAAATGAGCTAGAACTCGATTCGTTTATCAAACAGGCTAAGCTGAACTCGGGCCTTAACGATCCAAGCAGAGCCAGACTCGTTTAATTTAACAGCATTACACTACCTTTGAGTTAATTGTTGAATGAAGTTTGGACTTTGGATTGATTTTATCATGCAAAATGCATGAAGAACTTTTTTACTTTAGAAAACTCTGCAGATAGCAGAGAATGATTACTCGAAGTGTAAACTAGACGAAAAAGGCAATTATTCATACCCAAGCAAGTAACCGAAAGATAATGAAGATGGAGACTTATCGTACTACAATGAAGGGATATGAGTGGGAATAAAGATAGGGTTCGGTATTTGTCTTGGAGTTGGAATTGGAATCTTGCTCCTTCGAACTTACAAAGGATCCACAAGAAAGTTCACAAGGAGCATTTTGTGATGTGTTATTTTGCTCGTTGGTCGAAGCTCATACGTCTTAGTATGTCCTATGGTTAAGGAAGTTTTCGTGTATGAGACATAGTTTAAGTAATGAAGCTATGTGTACTCTAACTCTTATATGATCTTATGTTTTGTAATCTAAGTGCCTATGTATGAGAACTCGAGAGCTATCCGTTTGTTTTTTCATGCATGTATTATCAGTATTTGTTTTCTTGATGAGTTGATGAGTTATAGGATCATACTCGGAGGGTTCGGTTCGGTTTGATTCGATTGTCAGGATTAAGCATAAAATTTTCTTCAGTGTAAAATAAAATTATAACTAAAAAAATTAATGATGAAAATTGAAAGTGGGTGGGCACAGTTCAGGATTTGACCAATCCCTTGTACCACCTCATTATCACAACTTAAACTGTTTGGGGGGACATATAATTCTACAAGATAGTAATTTTTGTAATGAACATTTGTAGGGAGACATGAATATGGTGATAAAGATTAGGATGCACTGTTGAATATACACACACACACAGATATATATATATATAGTATATAAGATAAAAACTAACCTCTCCACCGAATTTCTTAACACCAAGATTCTTGGGCTTTGAGTCTCGCCCATTTTTCGTGGATCCAGCTGTTTTCTCGGTGGCCCAGCGTTTAAAAACTAAGCTCAGCCTATCTCCAGATGCATCTGCAGTTTTTTTTTTTTT